CCCAGGCCCAGAGTTCAGGCCCCATGACCGGACCCAAAAAAAAAAAAAAAAAAGAACTCATTTGGGAAAGTAATATATGTCTAGGAGCAATAACATAAACACTTTTTTGGGGGGGTCAGTTATGGTTGTGGGGCTTGAACTCTGGGCCTGGGCGCTGTCCCTCAGCTCTTGAGCTCATGGCAAGTGCTCTACCACTTGAGCCACAGTGCCACTTCCGGTTTTCTAGTGGTTTATTGAAGAGTCTCTCGGGGGCTGGGAAGTTGGCTCAGTGGTAGAGCACTTGCCTTGCATGCCTGACGCCCTGGGTTCGATTCCTCAGCACCACATAAGCAAAAAGCCGGAAGTGGCGCTGTGGCTCAAGTGGTAGAGCGCTTGCCTTGAGCTGAAGAGCTAAGCGACAGCGCCCAGGCCCAGAGTTCAGGCCCCACGACCAGACCCAAAAAAAAAAAAAGAGTCTCTCGGACTTTCCTGCCCGGGCTGTCATTGACCCACGAGCCTCAGATCTCAGCCTCCTGAGTAGCCAGAATTACAGGCATGAGCCACTGGTGCCCGGCATATGCAAACACTTCTTAAGACACTGTTCTTTAACATATTTCAAATGTTACTTTTTTTCCCTAGAAAAGATCCCCACTTCTGCCACAAAAGAGCTTTCCAGTAAATTTGTTCCCCTCTTATTCATCCACCCCCTCCTGCCAAGCTATTTTTCTTCTCCTACTGAGGACTTTATAGCTTAGCCTGAAAGCCATCTGCTGACATGTTCAAAAGCAGAGGGACAGGTGAGTACTGAATTTTGTCAGATTGTCCTTACCTGCTGTGGAAAACAGGTGCGGACCGAGTGTTCTGTGTAACCAAAAGATGGCCCTTCAAAGACAGCAGTTGGGAGCTTCAGAACCTCCTTCAGAAACTGGTCAAACTTGCTAAATATCATTAAGCCATTGGAATCTGACATCTGGGAGAAAATATCTAAGAGAACAAAACCAAATAATGTCAAACTCTAAGAAAATACCAGCTTTTTACAAATGGCTCTATACCCCTAAAACAGTATCATGCAAAAGTACCCAAAGTTACTATGACTTTTAACTAATATTAAAACAATTCCTGTTATTAATGCTATGTAGCTATTTTGCTGACAAGCATCCTCCATCCCAATCACTTAATATTCCACCTACAAATAAACCAATAAATGTCAGTCATGTGTTAATATTATACCTAAAATTAAAGCCAAAGATATCAGTGTATCCACATAGCTACTTTTTCAGTATGCAAAATATATATTTTAAAATATTTAAATATGTAATATTTAGGTATAATATTTAAAAATATATTTATTTATGCCAAACTTTGTTCCAATAAAAATTCATAGCAGCATGTCTTTATTCCCCAGTATCTGTGTTTATACACATATGTTTGAGTATATTAGCATTTTGGTGATAAGATATGCAGTTGCACTAAATCTGTGTATTTGTTTACTAATGATATAACTATATACCTGTGAGGGAAAATATTTGACAAGATGTTTAGAATATTTTATTAAGTTCCAAAAAGAATTTTAAAAATCCATATACACTCTCCTATCCCAAGATACTCTGACATTATAAAATCTTAGTTTTACATAAAGACTGTCCAAGAAGATGAAGGGAGGCTTCAGATACTACTACTATTTCTTTATCTTCATGCAGATCTCTTGTTTCCACTTAGTTCCTTCCTTTCATCGACAGTTGAAGAAAGTAAGAAATATAACCAAAAGCTAAAACAACTTGAGAAACAAATATGACCTAAATAATTTTGCAAATTACTGTGCTCCTTTTTAAAAAGTGAGTTAAAAAGTAATTTGAAAGTTCACATTTTGTATATTTTTAGTGACAGTTTTCAAAGTAATCTATGTCTACATAGTAGGTATATGTAACACACATACAAGCATCACTCTTTAGGTTTAATCTGAGGTTTATCTTGAAGTATTAAGAAAAAACAGAGCATGTTAATAAAAATAAAATCAAGATTGTCATCCATAAGGTAATTTTTTTTTGGTCGGTTGTGGGGCTTGAACTCAGGGCCTGGGTGCTGTCCCTCAGCTCTGCAGTTCAAGGCTAGTGCTCTACCACTTAAGCCACAGTGTCACTTCTGGTTTGCTGGTGGTTAATTGGAGATAAGAGTCTCACGGACTTTCCTGCCAGGGCTGGCTTTGAACTGTGATCCTCGGATCTCAGCCTCCTTGAGTAGCTAGGATTACAAGTATGAGCCACCGGTGGCCTGCCCAGAAGGTTATTTCTAAGGCACAAGAAAATGGGAAATAAAGAAATGAAAATCTTCAGCAATGTCTCTAATAGTTAAAAGCAAAAATATTGCCAGGCACCAGTAGCTCACACCTGTAATCCTAGCTACTCAGGAGGCTGAGATCTAAGGACTGTGGTTCTAAGCCAGCTTGGGCAGGAAAAGTTGATGAGACTCTTATCTCTAATTAACCACCAAAAAGTCAGAAGTGACGCTGTGGCTCAGGTGGGAGAGCACTAGTGTTGAGCAAAAAACCTCAGGAACAACATCAAGGCTCTGAATAAAGCCCCAGGACTGGCACCAAAAACAAAGTAAAAATATTAAAACTAATGATGGGCTAAAAGCAATATGGTCCTATAGAAAATGAAATCAATTAATTAAAAAATGCAATTTTAAGCACCAAGCCAAGAAGTCTGCTAGGTATTTTTGTTTTGTTTTGGCTTGGGATTTTTTTTTGTTTGTTTTTTTGTTTTGGTCAGTACTGGGACTGAACTCAGGGACTTACACTCTCACTTGGCTTTTCTATTCACAACTGACATTTTTACCACTAGAGCCACACCTCTACTTCTGGTTTTTTGCTGATTAATAGATAAGACTCTCAGAGATTTGTCTACCTGGGCTGGCTTTGAACTGAGGTTTCTGGATCTCAGCCTTCTGAGTAGCTAGAATTACAGGTATGAGCCACTGGTTCTGGCAGATGAGTGTTTTGAAGGACAGCATGGTCCTTCACCCCTAAGAAACAACTAATATGGCTGGAAATATAACATAAAAGGAATTTTAGGGCTACACTGACTCCAAGTACAACAGAAAGAAGGAAGAAATATTTTATTAAGTACCGCCTTGCCCAGCACTACAGTGAGTATGCAGATGCCCACTTAATACTCATCCTCTTTTCCTTAATGAACGCTAATTTCATTTTGTACAGCAAAATAAAACAGATTAAACTTCCCAGTCTCCTTTGAGCAGAGTGTAGTCACATGACTGACTGGCAGATGAGATTGGAGGCAGAAGGGTTATGATAGACTTGAAAGCTAAGACCCCACAAACAGAGAAGCTCAGGTCCCAGATGAAGCTCCAAACCAGCCCTGGACTGACTATCCACTGTCAGACTTCTTTTATATAGGAGAAAGATAAATTTATGTAGGAGAAATACACTTTCATTCTGAATTTCTGGTTTCAGGCAACAAATGCTAATCTTAAGTGCTATTATATATATATATATATATATATATATACTTTACCAAATATTGCCTTGTGTTAAGTGTTGTAGACTAAAATACAAAAATATATAGGTACAAGAATATAACTACCTCAAAAATCAACAAACAGGACAACATATACCAATTTCAGGAACACGTGTCCTAGGATCAAACAGATTAAGAACTTTTCAGCACAATAAACATGCTGAGTCATTACCAGTATGAAACAAGAATCATAGATCATGCAAAAGAATCAATCAGATATATCCAACATGACAAACAGCTACAAAATGACATCTAGAGGGCTGGGAAGGTGGCTCAGTGGTAGAGTGCTTGCTTGGCATCCATGAGACCCTGGGTTCGATTCCTCAGCACCACATAAACAAAAAGAAAAAAGCTGGAAGTAGTGCTGTGGCTCAAGTGGTAGAGCGCTAGCCTTGAGCTGAAGAGCTAAGGGACAGTGCCCAGGCCCAGAGTTCAGGCCCCATGACCGGATCCAAAAAAAAAAAAAATGACATCTAGAGTCTGAGATTGACAAACCAGAAAAGAAGAAAGACATACTGATAAACTCTTCTAAAAGGAAATTTAAAGAAATCAAACCACATGTAGGAAAAATGAACAGACAACAAAGACATGGGCTGGGGATGTAGTTCAATGCAATAGTTCTTGCCTACTATGCATGTCTTCGGTTCACCCAGCAATGCAAAAGAAGAAAAAAGAAGACAGAAGTAGGTATGCTGTCAAACAGATAAATTGCCAAGGAAGTTCTAAAAGAAAGAAATTTAAAAGCTGTCCTGATACAGGGTTTGGATGATGAGGTGAAAACAGGTTGGAGTCTGATTAAGATGACAAATGGAAGACTGGGATTTGGAGGATGAGACACTTATATGGGTACTGAGTATAAAGCATGCCTTCTAGGGAGCAACATTCTGACTATAACAGATCACTTATATTGAGAATATAGACTAAATAAGAAGATTACAAAGAAAACTTTTAAAAACTACAGCAATTTGGACTTGGCTTAAAAACTTTTTTTTTTTTGGGGGGGGCGTTGGTCATAGAGCTTGAACTCAGGGCTGGGCACTGTCCCTGAGCTCTTCAGCTCAAGGCTAGTGCTCTACCATTTGAGCTATAGAGCCACTTCCAGTTTTCTGGTGGTTAACTGGAGATAAGAGTCTCATGGACTTTCCTGTCCAGGCTGGCTCTGAACCGCTATCCTCAGTTCTCCGTCTCCTGAGAAGCTAGGATTTTAAGTGTGAGCCACCAGTGCCCAGCTTTAGCTTAAAAACTTTTAAAGTAGGGAGGAAATGTGTAGAAAATTAGATTCCAAAAGAATTGATTCTTACTGATGGTGACTTAAAGGACCTAGAAAATCTGTAAACAATGCATGAATGTGGTGGTCTTAGCTGCAGTAGTGGCATATGGCAGGTTCTCAAATCCAAGACATCCCAATGCAAGGAGTTGCAGTTATGGCAAATGGGACTGAGGAAGGAAGGACTTTTAAAGAATATGATTATTAAATTTCTACTTTAGGAAAACTTTGACAACCCCAAGTGAAAGCAAACTAGAGATCAAGATACCACACTCAGCTTTGAACCAAAGTGATCAGGGTGAATCTGCACATTTTCAAGTGGAACCATCTTGCAGACAGAGTACTAGGCCACAGTTCAAGGAGGGCTGAAGATTGAGAATGCGGAAATGTTACCACAAATGTGAACACTTGATGCTATGTACAGGAAGAGCCTAAGTGATTCGATTTTTTAATAGCTAGCTGCTGTTCTTGCAATGAAGGAAGATGATCATCCATTAAATGTGAATGAAAACAGAGAGTCAGTATAGGATGTGGCAGATACTTCAAGGCGCCCACTCCATACCTCTGCCCTCATCTCCACATGAACCTTGACTAGAGAGTGGCACTGTGTCCACTTCAAGTATGACTTCCCAGCCTCATTTGCACTCTGTAGCTCTGAGTAGACTGATGGAAAACCATCTGCTTTCCTATGGAGGCAGCTCTTTGCCCTCTCTGCTGGGAAGGAATGCTAAGTCCTGCAACAGAAGTGTCAGCTTGTGATCCTAAGGAAGAAAGCCAGAGAGCAGAGCAACAAGCCAGCAACTGGAGTCTTTGACAGACTAGAGTACTACATAACTACACAAACTTGCCACTTACCTGCTTTTGGACTTATTTTTTACATGAGAAAATAAATCCCAGGTCTTTAAGACTCTATTAGTCATGTTTTCTGCTGCTACTTGGTCACCACCAATCAGTAGAAGTACTTAGGACCAGAAACTTAAGTACCAAGTACATAAAAACACACAAACATCACTTCATAATCACAAAAACACACATGTGTAGACCCACACCAACAATCTACCACTAATTCAAAGTAAAAAAGAATGAGTGACAGGCTAGGGAGTAATGTAACTAAACAACCACATCCATAAAAAGAGCCTATTTTCAAGTATACCTGAATGACACTTGTCATATGTGTGTGA